AAACAAGTGAGCATGTAATAAATATTATACATCACAGAGCACCTTCTGTACTGGAAAAACCAAAAGCTCTCATTTAATTGGAACCCATTGGGTCCATTTCTTTCTATATCATATGAAAAACAAATTGGAATGACAGCATACAAATAGAACTATATGTATTGACTGTTTCTGAAACAGTAAGCTATTTAGTAAATAAAATGATAAACGCCTCAAGAATATGCAACGAGAAAAAGGCAGTCTCTTCAGCAAGTGGTGTTGGGGAAGTTGCACAACTGCATATAAAGCAATGAAGTTAGAACACATTGCCGTATCATACCCAAAAATAGACTTAAATGGAATAAAGACTAAAATACAAGACATGACACCATAAAGCTCCTAGGAAAGAACATAGACAAAGCATTCTGTGCCATAAATTGTCCTGATGTTTTCTTAGGTCGGTTTCCCAAGGCAATAGATATACAAGTAAAAATAAACAAACAGAACCTAATCAAACTTGCAAGCTTTCGCACAGCAAGGAAACCATAGACAAAGTGAAAAGACAGCCTATGGACTGGGAGAAAATACCTGCAAATGATGTGACAAATGAAGGCTTAAATCCCAAAATATACAAATGGCTCATACAATTCAACAACAACAACAACAAAAAAACAAGCAACCCAATCAAAAAACCCAATCAGACATCTCTCTGAAGAAGACATGCAGGTGGTCAGTAGGCACATGAAAATATGTTCATCAATGTAATTTGTTAAAGTGCAAATCAAAACTAAAATGAAATACCACCACACCCCAGTCAGAGTGGCCAGCATTAAAAAGCTTACAAATCAGAAATGCAGGAGAGTATAAAGGGAACCCTCTTACACTGTGGATGAGAATGTAAACTGGTGCAGCCATTTTGGAAAACAGCCACTTTGGAAAGGCGCCTCAAAAAACTGAAAATAGAGGTGCCGTATGATCCAGCAATTCTACTCTTGGGTATATATCCAGACAAAACTATAATTTGAAAAGATACATGCACCCCTACATTTATAGCAGCACTATTTACCTAAATGTACATTGACTGATGAATGGATAGAGATGTGATACCCACCCACACACAAAATATTATTCAACCTTAAGAAAGAATAAAATAATGCCATTTGCAGCAACATGGATAGACCTAAAGATTATCATACTAAGCAAAGTAAGTCAGAAAGAGACAGGCAAACACCACATGATATTACTTATATATGAAATCTAAATATGACACAAATGAATATATCTAAGAAATGGAAACAGACTCACAGACACAGAGAACAGAACTGTGGTTGCCAGTGGGGTGGGGTGGGGGAGGGAAGGATGGGGAGTTTGGGATTAGCAGATGCAAATTATTATATATAAGATGGATAAATGATTACATCCTACCATACAGCACAAGGAACTATAATCAATATCCTGTGATAAACCATAATGGAAAAGATATAAAAAATGTATATGTGTATATATATATAAAACTAAATCACTTGGCTGTTCAGCAGAAATTAACACAACATTGTAAATCAACTATACTTCAATAATATAAAAAAAATAACTGTCTAAAAGTATTCTGTACAAATATGCACTTGCACATTGTCAAAATTTAAAATATGCAGGATTGCTTCATGTAAGTTAGGGGCAAAAACACCAATGATTTTCCCCAGAAGTAACAAAACAAAACTCTCTGAATTTATTTTCCTGAGTAGATAATAAAATATATTAAAGTAATTTAGTACAGGACATCATTTGTATTCTTCCAAACCTTGTTTTTTTTCTTCTCTCAAGAACTTATCATAGATGTATTTCTTGATAGTATAAAAAAAAAGGCCCTGTGAGTTTTAAAAAGATACTAAATATTGCATAACAGGAAAGAAATATAGTGCATTAACTATTTTCCTGAATTTTAAATTGTTTCTAGTTCACCAATATGATAATTATGCAATCTTGGTACATATAATTTTTGTGCACTTTTTGTATGTTTCTGTGGGATAAAATGTTCAAGTTAAATTGCTGGACCAAAGTATATCCATTTTATAAATTCAATTTTTGTTCACTTTCCTTTCAAAATTGTTAGTTAATTTTTAAAAATATTAAAATATATTATATACACAAGTATAAGTATTTGTCTAATTTCTTTCATATTTGTCAAACTCTTAAATTTTCTATCATGCTAGACTGAAAAAAGTACAGTGTTATTCCCTTAATTTATATTGTTGTATTGATTATTAGTGAAGTATTGTTGGACATTTTTGCATTTTCTTTTGTACATTGCCTGACCAGGCATTTCAAAAGATTAAAATATATGGTTCATCTTAACTCAGGTCTACTTTTTAAAAAAACTTAATTAATTAATTTTTTGCTGTGCTGGGCCTTCGTTGCTGCTTGCAGATTTTCTCTAGTTACAGCGAGCAGTGGTTACCCTCTTCGTTGTGGTGCATGAGTCTCTCACTGACATGCCTTCTCTTGTTGCAGAGCATGGGCTCTAGGCACACGACCTTCAGTAGCTGCAGCATGAGTGCTTCAGTAGTTGCAGAGCATGGGCTCTCTAGATTGTGGACTCAGCAGTTGTGGTGTACCAGCTTAGGTGCTCTGAGGCATACGGAATCTTCCCAGAGCAGGGCTCGAACCCATGTCCTCTGCATTGGCAGGAGGATTCCTTTCCACTGTACCACCAAGAAAGTCTAGGTCTTCTTTTATATTACAAAATAGAGGCATGTCAATTATTTTTTTCAAAAACTGAGTCCATGTACCTATTTGATTAAGGAGCATACTTAAATCCAGACCTCAAAACCAGGACCCCCTTCATAATCGACCTCGCAATCATTTTATATCTTCATATCCTTGTCTTGATTCTGCCTCAATTGTGACAAAATATTTGCATTTAAGATTATCTGTGGAACACTGTATGATAAAACTCACAGTTATTTTTTCAAGAGCAATTTATTGAGATATAAATTAAATATAGTAAATCTCAGTATTTGTAGGTGCACAATTCTGACCCTTAACAAATATGTACACTTTCACATAAACATCATTAATTTCAAATGCATATTTTAATCACACCAAAAATGCCCTATGTGCTATTTTGAGGAACCCATTGCCCCACAGACTCTAGGGTTTGGAAACCACTTCTTTCGTTTCTGTCTCTACAGCTTTAGTGTTTTCAGAATATCATACAATGGAATTCTACAGTATATAGCTATTCTATTTTTATTTCTTCACTTAGCCTTATGCTCTTAAAATTCATCCATGTTGTTGCACATTTAGGAAATTCACAGATTTTTTTTTCCTACCCAATAACATCACAATATTAGCTACAAAATGATTTGTTTATTCATTCACCATTTGATAGACATTTGCATTGCTTTGAGTTTGGGACAATTATGAATATTTGAGTAACAGGTGTATCAATGAACATGATTTGATTTTAGTTGGTTAAATACCAATGAGTAAGGATACTATTTCTGACATACCATTTTTCATTCTTATCATAGATATGTAAGTATGAGAGGTGCTCTAAGTTCTTTTGAGACTTTATACACTGTAAAATTTGAGCACTGCAAAGAGGTATCAGTTTTAATTTGTATCTCTTTAATGACTAACAATATTGAGTACCTTTTCATGTCTTATTTTCTCTTCATACCTTTGCTACTGAGCAAAGGGCTGATAGAAGCTAATACTACAGCACCATCTGTTGAGGGAAGAAAATACTTTATTGAGAGGTCAACCCCAAGGGAGACATGAGACAAGATTCCATCAGAGGTTCAGTCAAACTTTCATGATTTAGGGGAGGAGGATTGGTATGCAGAAGTATTGGCTGGGCAAGTTCTGATTGAAGGGCTTTGGGACCTTTCATTTATGGTAAGGTGTGGTAAAGGGACTTTGGCACAGACTCTTCCTGGACAATGGACCCTTTGCTGCTGGAAGGATTTCAGTGTTCATATTCAGGCCATGTCCCAGTTCTTTGAATCCTTGCAGAAGACATTTTGGTTCCAATTGTTTGAGGTCAAAATTTTCTCCTCTTGCTCATTCTATGTCTTGCATGACTTAAGGTTTTACTCCGTTGAGTCAGAAAAAAATATCAGCATCTTATTAGAATCAGGATATGACCAGATTGGGGCTCATTCTGCAGGTAAACATTTTCTTTGATAAACTGTTTTTTGTTTTTTTCCTTTTGGCCATTTTACGGTATTTATTTTCCAATTATTGATTTGTGACATTTTATTACATTGGGTTGGTCAAAAAGTTCCTTCAGATTTTAAGTAAAAAAGACACATTTTTCATTTTCACAAAAAACTTTATTGAACAATGTATTTACTATTTTGTTCTACTATCTTCTGCCATTTCTCAGGCAACTTGATAACTCCATGTTCCCAAAAGTTTTTATCTTTTTGAGTAAAGAGCTGTCCCAGGTGCCTTTTCTAGTTTTTCCAGGAATTGAAATTATTATTATTTTTTCTTCACAGTGAGAATTTTGTAAAGATCGAAATAAATGGAAATCCAAAGTTGCAATGTCTGGTGAATATGAATGAATCAGAACTACCCAGGCAAGCTGTAACAGTTCTTGCCTGGTCATCAAAGAAACATGTGCCATCCTGATGGAAGATATGTGTTTTCTGTTGACTAATTCGGACACTTTTTGTCGAATACTGCCTTCAGTTTGGTCTAGCTAGGAGCAGTACTTGTTGGAATTAATTGTTGGGTTTTGTGGATAGTGAAAGTGAAGTCGCTCAGTCGTGTCCGACTCTTTGCGACCCCATGGACTGTAGCCTACCAGGGTCCTCCATCTAGGGGATTTTCCAGGCAAGAATATTGGAGTGGGTTGCCATTTCCTTCTCCAGGAGATCTTCCCAACTCAACGATTCAACCTGGGTCTCCTGCATTGTAGGCAGATGCTTTACCTACCTACCACATTGTAGGTAGATGTTTTCTGGAAGGAGCTCATAATAGAGGACTCCCTTCCAGTTCCGCCATATACACAACATTACCTTCTCTGGATGAAGACTGACCTTTGGTGTGGTAGATGGTGGTTCATTTTTCTTGTTCCATGATATCTTCTGTTCTACATTATTGTACGATATCTGCTTTTCATCACCCATCACAATTTGTTTTACAAATGGAACTCTTTTTTTAATGTTTAAGTAGAGAATCACATGCAGAAATATGGGCAAGAAGGTTTTCTTCACTTAACCTATGTGGAACCCAAACATCAACACAATGTACATAACCAAGCAAACAGTTTTCTTTTTTTCTTTTTTTAAATATTTATTTATTTATTTGGTTCTGTTGGGTCTTAGTTGTGGCATATGGGATCTTCCTTTTGTTTCACGGATTCCCTAGTTGTGCTCTGTGGGCTCCAGGATTCGAGGATTCACTTGTTGTGGTGCTTGGGTTTAGCTGCTCCGCAATATGTGAGATCTTACTTCTCTGACCAGTGATAGAATCAATGTCTCCTCATTGCAAGGTGGATTTGCAACCACTGGACAACCAGGGAAGTCTCCATTTTCTGTATTCTTAATAAAGCAACTTTGCAACAAGGGAAAGCATTCTAATTCATCAAAGTATGATAAGTTTACTTAAAAACAAATGTTCCTCATTTATAATAAAACAAATAATCTCAGTATCTGGGAACAAAATGCAAAGAAACTGGACCTTGCACACATGATAACCCACTATTACATCACGGAGATACCTAGACAAGTGACTCAAGAGTATGGCTCTTGAATCACAGTAGGAAGGCAAATATAAATTAGATCCATAATTTGGTAATTGCACTAAGAGGGAACACTTTAAAAAATAACTTGTTTATTTTTAATTAAAGGATAATTGCTTTACAGTATTATGCTGGTTTCTACCAAACATAAATATGTATCATCCATAGGTTAATCCATGTCCCCTTCCCACCTAAATATCCCTTCTTGTCCCTCCCCATTTCACCCCTCTATCTGGTTACTGAGCCCCAGTTTGACTAAGGGAACACTTTTCTAACATAGTTTCATTAGTGTTTTAGAAGAAGGTGGTCAGGTTCAGATATTTGTAAGTTTTGGGAATCTGAGCTCAAGACCTGAGATATCCCTTTTAATGTGGGAACTGAATGGCAGTGGATAAAGTTTATGGCATAACAGCTGAGACTTGGTGGATATGATGTGCTCTGGAAAGTGAAGGTCATCTTGATAAATTAATTAGCTGTTGTCTAAGTGAAATGGCAACCCACTCCAGTACTTTTGCCTGGAAAATCCCATGGACGGAGGAGCCTGGTAGGCTGCAGTCCATGGGGTCGCTAAGAGTCGGATGCGACTGAATGACTTCACTTTCTCTTTTCACTTTCATGCATTGGAGAAGGAAATGGCAACCCACTCCAGTGTTCTTGCCTGGAGAATCCCAGGGAAGAGGGAGCCTGGTGAGCTGCTGTCTATGGCAGTTGGACACGACTGAAGCGACTTAGCAGCAGCAAGTGATAAGCTGTTTTTCTATCTTTTTATTTTTTTTAAGCTCTTCTATGTGAGAAATCTGTTATTTTCAACTAATTTTCACTTGCCCAGAAAAGCATATTAAGTATTTGAATAAATTTATATTCAGGAATTCAATGAAATAAACAGTGATACTATTTATTGTTTGACATCTATATCGTTTTGGGCAAGAATTTTCTTGAACAAATAAGAAAGTTGACACAAGTATCATAAGTTCATAATCTTGTTACAATCTATGTGGGTGTGGATGGACTCAGTTCTGTTTATCATTTCACTGATAGGAACAGGAGTTTTTACATTTAGTAGAGATGGAGTCGGATGGTATATGTTGTCTGTCTTTGTATATCTTTAGTTATTCTCAACAGCTTCCAAGAGGTTAAATTTATTGATAAATTCTGCAATGCTATTTCATACAGTCATTATTCACTGCAACGTCTCAAGTACGGTCATATTATTAATACACTAATACACAGAATACTTCAATACATGCTGTGAATAATATATTCCTGAATTTGTAAGTATCAATATAAAATTTAATATCTTCTCTGTGCTAGGCCTTGTTGTATCTGACAAATCAACAAAATAAAAAAATATAGGAGTAAGAAATATTTCTTTTTTTGGAGGTGATCAAACTCTATAAATTTGAACATCTAATCAAAGAATTTGTCCTCATATTTTAGGAAGAACTTATACGGGAAATCTCTGCCTTGGACCCAGTTTTTTATTTAACTTATACTTTTTCCAAAGGTCATGGGTCCTCATCAACTTTGAATAGAAAGGAAATTATTTATTTATTTTACTCTAAGGCATGAAGAAAATTTAATGAGTTAAGAGTTTATGAATATAATGTATATTTCAATATGGCTAACTTTAACTAGACAAATGGCAACAAAAACACCTTTAAAAATGGCAAGTTGTTTCTTCTTTTGGGATGATACACATTTCTCAGCGGTTTCAATACTTTATTTTACATATGTTAGTGGCTTCAATTCCAGTGTTAATACGGCCATAGAAAGCCTCACCTTGAGAAGAACCAATGAGGATAACTATTCAACCTACATTTTCACTGATTTCCTTATAATTATTTCTGCTCCACAAAAGAGAAAAATAATTACTCTGCAATCAGGGAGGAGATACTTTACCAATAACATTCAGACCTGCACCAATGATAATATTGATGTTATTTTAAAGTATATTTTGATAGAAGGGAAAAAATGCTCTGGNTACTCTGCAATCAGGGAGGAGATACTTTACCAATAACATTCAGACCTGCACCAATGATAATATTGATGTTATTTTAAAGTATATTTTGATAGAAGGGAAAAAATGCTCTGGATCATGAATGACCTTTAAAACCTAGACTGCCTACATATTAACTGTCTGACATGAAGTAATGAATTAATTTGTTTTAATTTTTGTTTCTTCAAATATTGCAATAATTTGTTTGGTTGATGTGAAGAGAAACAGTGACTTTGTATGTAAAAAAGTAAATGATAAAAGACACATGAAATTACCTTTTAAATCCCTGGTGTGACTCATAAGGAGGGTCTACTGCTATAATTACAATATTTCTAGCTGAACCCATGAAAATTTAAACAACCCTGTTGCTGAACTGTAGGTTTTGCTAGCCTAAGAGGTTATTTTTATTTTAAACAACATAACAAAAGTCTTTTAACATTCAGTTGTGTGTTAGTGTTTGTGTAAAGTGAGTGGTGTGTATATGGATAGGGTGAGGCATGATGACAGGAAAGTATATATATACATAGTTTATCATTTCATAAGTCTAAGGCAATTTAAATATATATACATATTCAATTTGGTTTCATATCTTAAAACATATAATATGAATTTAAAAATATGTGGTGTGCTTTGGACTGTAGCCCACCAGGCTCCTCTGTCCATGGAATTTTTCAGACAAGAATAATGGAGTGGGTTGCTGTTTTTCTCCTCCAGGGAATCTTCCTGACTCAGAGATAGAAACTGCATCTCCTGTGTCTCCTGAATTGTAGACAGATTCTTTACTTGCTAGTTTATTGGGGAAAGGAGAGTTCAAATGCCTGTAATTCAATTAACTTTTGAGAAATCTCAAAATATATGATAGAAAATATTACTAACTCCAAAAAATAGATATTAGAGTTAAAAAACAACTTCAGAATAAACTGAGATGACACCAAAACTTAATGAATGATTTTCAATTTACTTGATTTTAAAAACTACCCAGTACTGGGGCCATTTGTGGAACATTCCCTGCTAGCAATGAAAGGTAGACTTTAAATCAAGAAGGGGACTTCCAGGAGATTACTATCCTCAGGGGATAGCTGCATCAGTAATAAAGAAATTCAAACTGGGGGACAGGGATTCTTGATTTGAATTTGGAAGAGAAAGTTGCTCCTATAGGACTATAGCAAACACCCTGCCTTGAGATACCAGGTAAGACAGAAAACATTGTTTACTTGGATTTGGGGGAAAAGAAACAAAAAGCAAAAAACTAAGATTAAAGATATTTTGAATAAATTAGTGAATAGAGAAAATCTAGCCTGCTATACAAGGAATTACAAAGGCCTAGAGGTGTTTCTTTCTGTGAAAGTATCCCTAAATTATTTCCTTCAAGAGCTTGAGGTATTAGGACAATGAAATTGAACCAAATAAAAGGAAGCAGGTTTAGTGTAGTCCTGAATAGGGGAAGTGCAGAATTATCCAGACCCATGTCATCAGTGAACCTGGTATTTGGTCTTATCCCGGAACACCAACACCCTTCTACTGGAATATAGATCCAAAAAATCCTTAAAGATTCATGGATAAGCAAAGGCATTGAAAAGACATCTGTCCCCAAATCCTTAACACTGGAAAGCACAGTGAGTGATCTGAGCAGAATGTGCTCTTATCCAACAATGGGTGCACTTCCTAGAGCCTCCCTCACCTTTTCCACTTATTGCAACAAAAGTCAAGATTTAAAAAAAAAAGAAAGAAAGAAAAAAACTAATAAGGATTTTGAGATTAATTCTAATTTTCTTATTTTCTAAAGATAAATGTGTNGAGCAGAATGTGCTCTTATCCAACAATGGGTGCACTTCCTAGAGCCTCCCTCACCTTTTCCACTTATTGCAACAAAAGTCAAGATTTAAAAAAAAAAAAGAAAGAAAGAAAAAAGCTAATAAGGATTTTGAGGTTAATTCTAATTTTCTTATTTTCTAAAGATAAATGTGTAGAATTTTATTTTTTTTATTTTTTTAATGTGTAGAATTTTAATGGATACCTTATTATTTCTGAAAGTCTCATTCAAATTGACTCAGATTGACATTTTTGAAAACATGATTAGCCTATCATGTAAAGCAGGAACAGGTAGACAGGACCCTTATGTTTCTTGTCCCCAATATTAGAGCAAGCAGTGAGACTTAAAAAAAAATTTTTTTTGTTTTGTTTTGTTATTTTTCCTAAAGATCTTATCCCCACCAAAGATTAGACTCGTGGAGAAATTTCAATAGGAGCNTACCTTATTATTTCTGAAAGTCTCATTCAAATTGACTCAGATTGACATTTTTGAAAACATGATTAGCCTATCATGTAAAGCAGGAACAGGTAGACAGGACCCTTATGTTTCTTGTCCCCAATATTAGAGCAAGCAGTGA